AAGAGCAGGCAGCAGCTCATCTTCCCTGCCTAATTTGTTGTTAAACTACCCCTTTCCTCCAGCACAGCCCTTCTCAGGATGCACTTGGGATGTGGCATTGCTCAGCTCCACTGAGCAAGGGGTTCTGGTGCCAGGGGAGCCACACTGCCAGCCAGAGGCTCCGGGAGCTGCGTGAGGAGTCCCCGGTCCGCTCAACACTGCAGGAGTGGAGGCAGCTGCCGTTCTGCTACTTTTATTGCCTTATTAGAGATGGGCAAAGAGGCCTTGGAGGTGAAGAGAAAGCAGAACCTGAGCCCTGAGCTATGTCTCCATTCCAGCCACAGCCACTAGCACTGATGCCAGCAAGGAAGGAGCAGGGCAGGAGTCAGGAGGCAGAGCAAAGCATACAGTGACCCCCGGGAGGCAGAGTTCATCCCAGCCCTCCCTGAGTTCTCACCAGACACTGGGGACCTCTCCAGGCCCATGCACAGCTGTGGAGCTCGGCTTCGAGTTCAGTAGAACATTTCTGGACCAGCTCCTTCCTACCAAGTTTAGGGAACAAGGACCTCACAGTGCCCATGTGGCACATGCAAACCCTTCCAAACAGCAAGTCTTCTGCAGCCTCCACGAGAAGAAGCCTGTGCACAGGCAACCTCAGTATGCAAAGGACCCAACACCCAGCACCTTCTGATGCTCAGGAGGCTGGGAAATGGACCACGGGGCTGAAGGACTTCATGGCCTTGGGCCAGCAGCATAACATGCCCTGACCAGGGCTTGGTATTTTCCCAGGGAATTAAGGCTCACCTCGGCAGGGAAATCTGGCCGCAGCGCCTCCGAGGGGGAGGTGACCACAAACTCCTCCTACGGCACACAGAGCCTGCCAGAGAGAAAGGAAAAAATTCCAGCAACTGAAGGAACCCAACCATCTTTGGTCAGCAGCGGTGGTTGTTGATATTCGGGGATGTTCCACTCCAAAGAATGCTGCTCCAGCTGCCGCCTTCTCCTACACATCCACGTTTTAGAGTATCCCTGGCTTTTATCACAGTTGAAACATTTTGTACCAAAAGGGCATGCCGGGAGGGAAGCCAAGAGGACCTCATGTTTTCATGGGAAAGGCTAAAAAAACCAACATCCCTCTGTGTTTAAGGCTGAGGAAAATGAGCTAAATAAGGCTTTTCTGCCTTACAGCAGTTTATTGCCTGACATTGCTCCCAGGTCACTGGGGAGATCTCTGGAGCACCACGCATGCATCCAGATCTTGCCTCTGGCCATCAGCAAAAGGACTTGGGGGAAAAGCAGATGCTCCAGACAGGAACAGTTCTCACAGACCAGGAGGCGTGTGCAACCACGGGCGGCAGGATCTGCTCCTCTAGCTGTGCCATGCCGGGGAAGCTGGGATGTCCCAGCTCCGAGGCATTGCGGGCAGTTCCCCAGAGCCTGGCTCAGGAACGATCCTCACCTGCCGTCGCCCGGACACGCCTGCCGGGCCTGGCAAGAGGCTTCCCGGGCAGAGGGTGCCCGGCAGGGCTCACCGGGAATCCTCCTGCCGCCGAGTCACCCCGGTCCCAGGGCTGACCTCGGCATCAGCTCCAGCACCGCAGAGCTGGAGGAGCGGCGGAGCTGCCTCCCTCTGCTCCCTCCGCTCTCCCGAGACGATCGGGGCTGCTCCATCCGCTCTCCCCGGCTCCATCCCGCCCGGTCCACCGGGACTGCCCCCGGCTCCATCCCGCCCGCTCCATCCCACCCGCTCCATCCCACCCGCTCTCTCCATCCCGCCCGGGGCCGCCCCCCTCCCCGCCGTGGCCGCTCGCTCCTGTCCCGGGGCGGGCCCCGGCGGAGCCGCCTCACCTGTCCCAGAGCAGAGAGCTGCGGGAGCTGCGGGAGCTGCGGGAGCTTCGGGAGCTGCCGGAGCTGCGGGAGCTGCGGGAGCTGCGGGAGCTGCCGGAGCTGCGAGGCGGTCGGCGCGGTTCTGCGGGACGCGGCTCTGCGGGGCGGGCGGGCAGCGGGTCCCGGCCCGACTCGGCCCATACAAGGCAGAAGAATGCGGCGGGACCAGGGCCGCGGGGCAGGGCCGGCGGGACGGCCTTATATAGACGAAAGGAGTGGCCCACACGTGCCCCCCGTCCCGCGCGCTGGCACCGGGGGGCTGTGAACCGGCGCGTCCCCGTGGGCGCCCCTGCGCATCCCAGCCAGGGGACACAGGGATGCCACTCTCTGGAGAAGCCGTGGGCAGCGACGGGTGACACCAGCCGGGGGCCCACGGCTGTTTGGACAGCTCTGGCTGCGATGGCGTGGCCGGGGTGGGTCCCTGGGGCAGGGGTGGGTCCCTGGGGCAGGCGTGGGGCTGCTGGAAGAGCAGCGGCCCGTGGGGTCCGTGGAGAGGCCAGAGGATGTTCGCAGGCTGCACCACGAGTGGCCGAAAACCTCTGCCAACGGTCCTTGGGGCTACGCAAAGGGAAGGGTGGCCAGAAGGACCAGCCATCAGCGCTGACTTCTGCCGCTGCCCTGGGCTGTGAGACCCCAGAAGGACCCCCTAAAACAGCCCCTCAAAGGCCCTCTAAAAAGTGGCCTGGAGCAGAGAACAGCCAGGGAGCTGCCCCATTCCCAAGCAGGGATCCAGAGCCCGGAGGAACAGGGATGGGGAGTTCCTACCCTTCTCTCGAGGCAGGAAGGCACCAGTTCTGAGACACCTCTCCAGGGCAGCAGGTTCTGCTCACGATTCCTTCCCATCAGCAACCTTGAGCCTCATCATAGTCCTGCAGGCATGTGCCTGCAGCCCCGTCAAAGGACAAGCAGCGGGATCAGGAGCTGGCCAAATGTAGGAATGGGGCTGGAAATGCTGCCGAGTGCAGTGCCAGGGCAGAGGCGAGCCAGGGAGAGCACAGAACCTTTGTCATACCCGTGAGCTGCACAGGGGGTCCCTAGAAAGGTTTATCTTTTTATTAAAAATTTAAGAAAATAAACAAAAAAGAAAGAAAGAAAAAGAACCGGGAGTCAGCCAGCCCGAGCTGCCACCCTGTGGCTGGTCCCCGGGTTTTCTGTGCTGGAGAAGAATCCTGGTCTCAGTTTGGTCCAGGCGGTCCTAGGAGCCATCCTCCAGCCACTTCGGGGTGGCCACCGTCCCCCACTGAGCCCCAATTCCTCACTACTGAGCAAGTGTCAGGCTGGGCCCCTGCAGAGGGGAGCTGCTGGAGAAGGGCAGCATGGACATGTCAACTCCTTGAAGGCTTTGCAGCCTCTGCAGCTGTGTGCACACAAGGGGCTGCTGCTGGGCCACCTCATGCTGTCCCTTGAGCCCTATCCAGCTCTTCCTGCCTTCCCCTGCCTGTGCCCAGGGCTCTCCATGTCATCCTTCTCCCCCACTTCCAAGTGTCTGCCAACACCCATCCCTTACTGGGGGCTGCTTGTACCCTCAGGACACACTCTGGCACCTCTCCTGCCTCCTTCTGGCCCTTTCAAGACCAAATTTAATTTGCTTTTCTCTGGCCAGTTGTATCAGGCAATGGAAATAGAGTAAAACAAGACATTTTGTTTAGCATGTGAATTTTAAATCAGTTCCCTGATCCAGGTGTTTCATTATTGTGCAAATGTTTCTATCCCTGTGAAGTGGCCTGGGGGAGGAGCACAGAGCTGGGGACAGTGGCACTCCTCACCTGCTTAGGACACAGCCTGAGGCCTGGAAGAGCTGCAGCTGCAGCTGTCACCTCCCCCTGCCCTCGGTGCGTCCATCACAGAGCAGAGGGTGCAGAGTACCTGGGGCTGCTACGGCCCAGGCACCCGAGGAGTGTCCCAGGAGCAAGGCTGGAACCAGGACACGTGTGACCTGGCCCTGCCATGGTGTGGGGTCAGAGGCACAGGATCTGCCAGAGATACAGCGATGACACCCCTCCACACACACGTCCCTTCTTGCCAATGCCATGTGGGTCCCTTGGCTTGAACCAGCCTCTGGCATGAGGCAAATGCCCAAGGGGCTGGACATGTGGTCAGAGGCCTGATGGCTGGAGCAGGGCAAGATACTTTTGAAGTCCATAAGTATCTTGCATAATCTGTATTTAAATTACGTGGCCTTGGCTGGAAGTGATCTGAGGCCTGGGAGAAGGACTTGTCTGCCTGCTCCCTCTGCCAACCCCACAGGGCCCAAGGAGGGTCAGTCTGCCCCAAAAGATCCTGTTGGAATCAGCAGCAAGGCATTATGATCAGATTCTTGAAAATTATTAGAAAGATGCCTCTGCCCAAATTAAGGTGCAAATCAGACCATATGTCAAAGTCAATAGTACAGATTTTTATTTAATGGTAATTGGGAAGTAGATTATTATGCCCACATAATCACACCCTGAAGAGGATAACAGAGAGTCAATCCCAACCAAATATCCAGCCCACGCCATGCATAAATAATTCTCAATATGTTTTTCCATGATGAGTGCGAGTGGCTTGAGCACCACTGCTCTTGGAAGGCAAGAATATAAAAATTAGTAAAATCTTTAGAACTCCACATGTCATTACTTGATCCACAGCCGCCGTATGTTCAGCTGCTGTAAGGTCTGCTCAGATCACCAGCTAATGAGCGGCACAACCGTGTGTGTCCCAAAAGCTGCCCTGCTCCCCACCCTCCAGCCCGTCCCCAGGGAGGAGCTGGGGCGTCTCCAAAGCCTGGCTGTGAGCCGTGAGCCGACGGCGTCGCATGGTGACAATGTGCCGCAGGCGAAGCTGTCCGGGATCCCGTGGGATTGTCCGAGATCCCGGGATCCCCACGCGGCCCCGTTCGCAGGCTCAGCAGGTGCTTCGGGGGTCCCAAGGTCCCTCTCCCCCCCAACACGTGGGGACAACACGGGGGCTGCTGTCTCGCCTTTCCGCCGAAGAGCGGCCCTTCCAGGCTGAGCCTTCCCCTGCCCCTTCCCCGCCCCCTTTCCCTTCCCCATTCCCTGTTCCCGAAGGAGGAGCCGGGCGCTGGGCCCCGCCCGTCCCTCCCTGGCCCCTCTCGGCCGCCGTAGGGCGGCGGCGCCATTGGCGGAGCGCGGGCGGGGCCGGGGTTGGTTCCGGGCCGAGGGTCCGGAGGGTCCGGGCGGGTCCCGAGGAGGGTCCGGGCGGTTCCGGCTGAGCGGGATGAGCGGCGGGCGGCGCCGGGACGAGCCGCCGCACCCGCAGCACCACGCGGTGGCCAACGGCGGCGCGGCCGGGCGCGGCTCCGTGTGGGGCAAAGCGCTGCGCAGCGACTCCGCCTGGCACGACAAGGTGGGCCCTGGGGGCCGGGGGGCCGTGAGGTGCGGGCTCGGGGGGGGGGGCCTGGGGCGGCTCCGTCCCGCGGGGGGGTCGGAGGAGCCACCATCTCTGAGCTCGGGTAAAGCCCCTGCCGGGCCGGTGCCCGCAGCGCCAACGGGCGGGGAGCCAAGGAAGCACAACCTGCATTACTGTTAGGATACCTCAGTTACATTTGGCTTGGGGGTTAAATTCTTCCTGGATTAAATAAAAATTTAATTCGTGTAACTAAAGGAAAACTAGAAACTGAATCCACTTTCAGTTTTCCTGTGCGTGTCTCCCACGTGCTGCCGTGCTCCTGCTCGGTGCTTCTCCCTGCTGCTGCCTCCCACAGCACGGCCACGAGCTGTCCTGAGCTCCTGCCGTGTCCCGGCCCCTGCCATATCCCTGGCACGGCCCGGGCACACCATGTGTGTTCCAGGATCTCTGCTCCCTGCCTTTGGCTTTGCCTTTCGGCGTGGGGAAAGTGCACGATCTGCGCGGCATTTCCTTGGGGAACAGACTCTGTCACTTTTGCCTTAACCTGTTACTCCCAGAACTGGTAGGGCTCGTCTGTCCCTGCCCCTCCGCTATGATTGATGGGGCTGGAATTTCAGAGTCAGCAGGGGGCCAATGACAGCTGTGCCCACGTTTTGGTGCAGTAGGATGTGAACTGAAGGCTGAACTGACTGACCAGTGTAGTGACCAAGGGAAATGTCTTTACTTGACATGGATTCAAGTTTTCCACATGGAACCAAACAACTGGCACATCCTACAGTAACATCACAAAGGCTGTTGGTGTTTGGGGTATGGTGGGACAATCCCAGCCTTGGGGAGGCTGGGTAAAGGTATGTGAGCTTAAGTAAATCTTATTTAAAGTGTGAGCCAGCACTGTCCAGCTGCAGTAGTGCAGCGGTGTGGTCCCTTGGACAAACAGCAGTGAGCACGTCCCTGCTGCTTGGGAGGCACAGGAGTGAGGTACAGCTGGGCTGGGCGCTGCTCTGGGTTCTGGGAGCTCATGAGCACGGGAGGGCCTGGCTGGAGAGTTGCCGTAACAGTCTTAAAGCACAAACAACTCTTTAAACTTTTATTCCAGTGAACTTTTATTGAATCTTTAGTAAACAAGGAGGCTCGGTACTTGTTCACCTCTGCAGTTCACCCATCAGAGGACAAAGCTGTGTATTTAATTTGGAAGCAGAGAAGCCCAGGATGCACAATGCCCTAAGTGGTTTTTATCTGTTCTAATGCAATATCTTATACTCTTAATGGAGAACTAAGTGTTCAGTGTGTTCAATTCTTACCTGTCAATTCTATGATGCTTTAAAAAAAGGAAACATAATATATGCCAAAATCTTTCTTGTGCTTTATCTCCTCAGGACGAGTTTTTAGATGTAATCTACTGGTTCCGGCAGATCATTGCAGTTATTTTGGGAATCATCTGGGGAGTAGTTCCACTGAAGGGCTTCGTGGGAATAGCAGTGTAAGGTTTATTTCCTTTTCTGTCTCATGTACTTTCCCACGTTTGGACTGGACTCAGAGCCTGTTCGAGGCTGTGCTGTGAGCAGTGGGCTGGCTCTGCCTGCTATGTCTGACAGCCAGCATTGCATTCCAGGCTGTTCGTTGCCATGAAATTCATCCAAATCATAACATGTCCATCAGCCTCCTTCTCCTCAGCCTGATTTATGCTTTTTTAATTTATTATTTATTTTGTTAAGGGGGGTGGGGGCAGAAGAAGGGAACAGGAATTTTAGTTGACTTGGGATGTGTGTCCTGCACGTGTGAACAGGGGCTGTGTGGTGCCTGGTGTGATCTCCCAAGAAGGAATGTCTGTAGAGGTGTGGTAGTCCTTGTCTTTGAGGCAGGAGCCCTGCTCGGAGAAGAGGCTCTGTCAGCAGATAAGAGGGGCAGCTTCTTTGTGAAGAAGGAAAGGTTTCTTCAAAGCCCCAGAGGCCGCAGGTCCCGGGCAGGCAGAGCGGCACTGGCAGTGCTCGGGCAGCGCTTCCCAATGCAGCTCTTCCAGCTGTGGTGTGGGGGAAGGCAGTGCCTAGAAGGGGGCATGTGCATCGGATCTCCACAGGATGTGGGAGCCAGGTCACCTCCCCACGGGTGTCTGAGGGCTGCAGTGAGTTATGAACTGAAAATCTGTTTGGCACGGACACGTGCCTGAAAGCCTCTGAGGGACAGCAGAGATGGGAATGCAGCCCTGCGCTCTGGACATGGGCTCTGGGAAGGTGCTGGGTCTGCTCTGAGCTGTCTCCATTTTCAAGTATCTCTGCCTGGCCAAGGTCTCACAGTCAAGCTGGAGCTTGACTCACAGCTTTTCTTAGGCAAAATTCACTTGTCATCTTGTCCCTCCTCCCGAGTGTCCTGGCTGTGCCAAGGAAGCGAAGGGTCGATGCTCCAGCAGGAACTCAATAGTTACATCAAAGAAATTAATCTGAAGTGCCCCCAGAAACAGGTGTGGGGTAGGTGAGCATGTCCTTACATAGTCATCCATTAATTCACAAAGCACCTTCAGTCACCTAAGCCAATTCACAGAATCAACTAGGTTGGAAAAGACCTCTGAGATCATAGAGTCCAACCTATGACCCAACACCACCTTGTCAACTAGACCAGCACACTGAATGCCACATCCAGTCTCTTCTTAAACACCTCCAGGGACCGTGACTCCACCACCTCCCTGGGCAGCCCATTTCAATGTCCAATTACTCTTTCTGTGTAGAATCTCTTCCTAATGTCCAACCTAAGCCTCCCCTGGCACAGCTTAAGACTGTATCCTCTTGTCCTATTGCTAGTTGCCCGGGAGAAGAATTCCTGTGCTTAATGTTAATAAGAGTGATTTGGTGTAGTATGGAAAACTAAAAGCTGCTGGAAGCATGTGTGTGGTTTCTCTGTGCTGTTGCAGTCACACAGCTGCTCTCAGCTGGTGACTGACTGTGTGTGTGTTCTCATACCACCCTTCCCATACAGCCTTCCTTTCAGGACACCATCCTGTCCCTTTCCAGGCTGCCCCAGCCCTAAGCTGGGGTGGTGTAAAGCCAAGCAAATCTAAGGACAAACAGGAACATGTTTGTTCTCTCTGCTGCAGCCCAACTGTCAGCACAGACTGGAGAGCACTGAGAGCTGGCTCAGGTTGGGCCCCAGTGCTGGGGCTCAGGGCACTGTTGAGTCTTCCTGGCTCTCGTCTCCAAGCCATCACATTTGGTGTTCACAGGGATGTTACCCTGAGCATGAAAGCAACAGTCTTCCCTCTCAGCAGCCTCAGAATCAAGCAGCACACACAAGGAGATTGAATTCTCTGTGGGAGCAGGACTGTGGATCTCCAGGACAGGAAAATGTGCAGGTTTGCAGATTGGAGGATACTTCCAGCTTTTGACTTCTGCCTGTTGAGCCCTACTAGGAGTAGGTTGTGCCTTGTGAGGTGAACTTCATCCCACCCTGGCATACTATGGCAAGCTGACCTGGAGGGGCTTTTCAAGGAGGTGATTGAGCTGCCTGGGAAACGTTGCAGGAAGAGTTCCTCTTTGCTTCCCCTGTGGATGAAAGATATTTCACTGTATGGTATGTGGGATATCTGCAGCCTATATCACTGGAGTGACAGTTCCTAACCTCTTTCCTCCAGATTCTGCCTGATCAATGCTGGTGTTCTGTACCTCTACTTCAGTAGCTTCCAGCAGATAGATGAGGAGGAGTATGGCGGGACGTGGGAGCTAACGAAGGAAGGATTCATGACATCTTTTGCACTGTTTCTGGTAATGCCTCTTGCTTTCCTCAAGTTGATTAGTGAATTGTGTTTGTGCACTTTCTGAGGGAAGAGATCTGGAAGGAGGGCAGGTGAGGTGGTGAGAGAAGAGATGTGTTAACATTATCAAACAAGTGACATTGATTTGGGAAAGAAAATCACAAAATCCAATGGCTACTGGCTATAAAATACAGTGCCAGTGCCTGGGATTTCTCTGTAAGAAAGGATGTAGGAACAGGCAGCTGTACTTTTACATCTACCACTTTTATGTTTTCCCATCCTCTGTCCCAGATATCCTGGTGGAGTTCCATATAGAGCTAGTTAAGCTGGTGTTTTGAATGTCTTTGTTTTCCTTACTCCCCTCACTCAAGTCTCTAATCACAGCACTTGGTTTGGTGGTGTTCTAAATCACCAGAGGGGCTGTGGTGGGAGTTTAATGTGGAGAGGCTGGGCACTCCAGAGGTCAAGCAAGTTGGATGCCACCATTTGTGCCATGTGGTGATCCTGAAATCTCCCCAAGACCATCTCAAAGCTGGAATTCAGTCCTCAGTTCTCTATTGAGAGCAAAGCCTGAGGCTTGTTAGCTGTCTGAACCCCTTCCAGAGGTATCCAGATAAACTTCGCTTCCTTTCCTCCCCACAGGTTGTTTGGATAATCTTCTATACTGCCATCCACTATGATTGACACAGTCTGCAGCATTTGCCTGTTAAATCAGTAGTCAGTAAATCAAGAAGGTTTTAATAAGTCCTAGTCTTTAGTGGACTGGTGGGAAGGTGGGGAAGCCAAACCAGTTCCCTTCCATACCAGAGGTCTGATTAGCCTGGAGGAGCCCCAACTCTTCTGCTGGAGAAGCCTGTCTCTGTTTTATATACCCATGAATTATTGGAACTATTAAAAAGCCATTGGAATTTTTGGAAGTGGTTCAAGACTGTTCACATGTGTAACTTTCTGTGACTCTAGCCAGTAACTCTACAAACTGCTGTGTGCTGAAGGTTGAATCTGTTAATTTAATGTATGTATGCCCATCTGTTTGAAATCTGTCATTAAATCCTGACTTGTCTTCCATGGTTGTCCTTTAGACAAACAGTGTTTCAAAAGCAGTTGTAGGTACGTGGGCAGAGGGCATGGCAGCACCCAGGACATGAGCTGGTGGCTGCCCTTGGCATGTTTTTGTAGTAATCAGATCTGATTTGATTAAACAGACTATGTTGTTAACCATTTCTAATATTTTTTTATTTTACTTGCAAATCAGCCGTCGATCAGAATTTTTAAATGCTTTTTGCTGAAGAGAAATTTTTAAGCAATTTTGCTAGGAAGAATTGATTCATTTGGTTAACCAAGATGTATTCAAGAAGCTCGGAAGCTCCACTGCACTCTGCCAGCCTGACTACCAAGTTGCTATCACATACCTCAGAGCTTCATAGTCTCAAAGGACAGTCATTCTGGAGATACCCTGTTAAATGTTAGCATTTAAATTTATTTGGTTTTAAGCTCTTGAATTTGACTGCTCCTTGTTAATAAATGCAGGAGACTAAGACACAATTGAGGCAGCTATTATCTTAAATGCAGACTTGCAAGTCTGGCAGAGTACACAGCTTCTGATTTGTGAGGTGCTTGGTCACTTCATAGCTCAGTCCCTCCCTAGTTGTGCCCTTTTTGTGCATCAAAGGGGAATCTCTGCATTAAGATATTTTTAAGGAAGTGTCTTTCAGAAATAGTTCTTGGGAAATACGCACAGTCCTTGTTTTTGTCAGAGGACCTTGTAGTCTTGTTGCCATGTGGTCCTTGCTTTTCTAAACAGCTCAGGCACCCAAAAAGAGTCCTGACCTAAAGCTGCCTTATAGTAAGGGGTTGATAGTTTAGTGTGCTCTTGCTGCAAGTCTGCTTTGCCTCCTCACTGGTGGAAGTGCCACAGCCTGGCTCTCACCTGTGAGTGTGCAAAGCCAGGGATCTCAATCTCCAAGTGCTGAGCCAGGGCTCTGGAGTTGCCCACCAGTGCAGGCCTCCATTCTTACCAGGGAAAATGCTGTCTGTTCTTGGTGGAAAAAACACCCCTGGCTATTTTAGGTCCTTGGGATGCCAAGGGAAGAGTGCAATAGCAGACAGCTTCTGCTATATGTGAGTGGCCAATTTAAGTAAATGATTTCAAATGATAACTTCTATATTTTCTCCTCTCCATCCCCAAACTTGCTCAAACTTTTAGTCTGCTACTTTCTTTTCCTTTTCTATCAGCTGAAACCATTAACTTTCCACAAGAATTGCACAGCCTGCTAGTTCTAGGTCACCCTTTCCTGCTGGCATCTGCATCTTAGCTGCTCACAGCCATCAGTAAAACCATTGTATACTTGAAATGCTCTAATAAATGTTGCCTGTGCAGCTTCTGTATCGTCTGGTCTTTGATGTTTCATAAAATGGTGGGAGTGTGGAATTTCTTTCAGAGTTTGATTTTTTGGTAAAAATTTTGGGGATTCTCAAATCTCTTGTGCTGCAGGCTCAAGTCCTGCACTTTCAGAAGAGGCCAGAAGCATTCGTAGTGACAGTAGTAGATAATGCTTAGATCCATCCTTCAATTAAGCAGGTTCAGCCAAGTGTTGCCTGTTTAAACTGTTCTGCTCCTTCAGCAGGTGTCCCTGCCACATGACACACAGTCATGGCAGAGCCACTGCTGCATTCCAGAGTGCTCCAGGCTGGTCTGGAACAGGACTCCGAGCATTGCTGTAACATGTGCAGAACTGCTTCCCTGCCCCTTTGCTCTGTTCCTTGCTTGCCTGTGCTCCCACCAGCTGAGTTTCTTGTGCTTTGCACTTCTTTGCAGTTCTAGTGGCTGCAAGCTGAGGCAGAACTCGAGCTCAGGAGGACTGGAGTAGGGACTGCCATGGGAGAGCAGGGCTTGGGCAGCACCTCTGCCCTCAGCACTTCTGGATTGGCACAATGAGCTTGCTCTGCCCTCTCTTCTCCTTGATGGGAAGGAGAGTGAACCAATGGCTGGTGGGGGGTCTTTGCATGGAGCAGCAACCTGGGGACAAATATGTCCTTCCTGTGCTGGAGAGCTGCGCTATGGAAGCCACAGCTGTCGGGACACAGTTCCACCGGGAGCTGTATCCTTATGGAGCTGACAAGAGGGTGCAGAGAAAAGGCTGCACTGCCCACGGGCTCGGTGAAGCTCCCTTCTAGCTGCAGACATGCAGGAACATCGCTTTGACTTTCACCAAAGAGCAGCCAGTCCCTGGCTGGAAGGAGAGGGAGATATTCCCCAGCCTAACCTCACTGGGACATGAGCAGCAAGTGTATTCTGGTGTGGAACTGGAAGAGAAGTTTCTGTTGGTCTCTTTTGGGCTTCAAGAGTACCATCTGTTAAAACTAATGCAGGTTACTTTCAGTGTTAAAGGGAGGAAACCAGTGTGGGTGCAAAGGGGTGTTGGGGGGGGGGGGTGGCTGTGCCACTGGGTATCTCAAGTCTTGCCAACACCAGCTGTCAGAGCCCAGCTAAACATGCAAACCAGCATGACCAAAACCGGTTACCTGGGGGTTGGCCCAGCAAGGGAATGCTGCTGCTGTCACTTGCCTTCAGCAGTCCTTGGGATGTCCTTAGAGCGAGCGGTGCCTGTTGGGGTGGCAGCACACCACTGAGGAGCCCTTGTTCCTCCATGGGGTGTTAGCACCTCTGCAGTTCCACAGCTTGATTTCTAAGCTTGCAAAGGCTGGGCTCACTGTTGCTGGCATTCTGCTCTCCACATATATTGCAGAGGCTTATAAAATTGAGACAAATAATATATTCAAATGAATTTATTTTATAAACCAGTTAAACCAGATAAACCAAATAAGCCAATTAAAGCTTGGCCAACATTTGAATACACATTCATTATATCGAATTGGAACTACCCAACTGTAAGAATTCCCACGATTTCAGAAGGGTAACCCAGAATGCACAATCCCTCACGCAATGAGGGCTCTCAGCCTTGAGGGGTTTCCTCGGGGGAGCCCCTGTCTGCTGACCCTCAGCTCCGAGGAGCAGCTCCACTGATCCCCGTTGGGGCTCGGTCTGTAGCCCCATTGAATGTGATCTGTGGTCAGATACAGTCACGTTACCCCTCACTGAGCGGGGTCTGACCTCCTGCCCCACCACAGCCACCACGCGGGTGTGACGGGGCTGGTCGTGCCGGCCAGCCGGGACATGGCCGGCTCACCGGCCGGAGGGGCTGAGGTGGGTACTCCTGCCACAACCAATTGGTTTGGATTTGTTTGTTGGGTTGATCTGTTAATTCTCTGCCAGGCAGTGGGTGGAGGAGGATTCAGTATGGACACACTCTTAGCCTTAGAGGAGCTGCAGTGGTGGGGAAGGGACCCCCCTCCAACTGCTGAGGATGGGGACACTGGAGAGATGCCTGAAAGTGGAGCAGGCTGAGACTGGCTTGCAGAAGCCAAACGAACCTATTCTTATTCCTATTTATTTAGTTACTAACTGGCAGTGGCCATTATGCCCTCAGGCCACTGAAGGCACAACCAAAACCTTACTACCGCCACAGCAAAGGAAGGTTTACATCTCCCTGTGTTGAGAAGCACTGAGCTAATGGAGCTGCTCATGCAGGGAAGAGTGGAGAGTATTAGCTGGCTCATTAGAGGATGAGAAAGTAGGACACATACCTCTCAGGTGACTTCCCCAGAGCCAAACAGCCCAGCACTCCACATGCTCTGTCTCCCAAAACAACAGATGTCCAGGAGAGATTAGGGCAGTAGAAAGATTTTTCAGACCTGGCAGCCAAACAGCCAAGACTGTGTGCCAAGCTGAGAGAGGCCAGTGTTGTTACGGGGATAAGGGATTTTCACAAGCTTGGAGCCATGAAAAGAAACAACCTCTTCCATCTTCCAGTTATTTTACTGGTTTTTTTAGGTCAATTTCCAAAATAACTGTAGGGGGGGGGAAATGAAATATTTCAGCTCAGGTCTGCCCCAGGTATGGCCCCAGTTCTGGCCCCGTGCAGACCAGCTGTACTGCCCGGCAGCCTCAGCCCCTCCTGATACCTGTGCGGGTGCTGCTGGAGCCAGGAGCAGGGAGAGACACCAGTGCCAGGTGGGCCTGGCCAGCTTCACCTGCAAACACCAAACAAACCTGATGTTCCGCAGAGGGGAACTCGGTCCTCAGCTCTCAGCCCCAGAGGGCCTTCACGAGCAACCCACGTCGGAAGGTTATGGGAGAGCAGAGACATCGCTCAGTGGCAATGTCACCGCGTCTCTTGCTGATGGTCCCCCTTGCCCCGTGGTCATAGGTGACATGTCACATGCGAGCCCCCCTGCTACAGGTTGCTTTCAATCAGCGGCGACACACAGTCTCTCGGGAAGGTCTTCCAGCCTTCTGGAGGCAGGACTAAGAAATCTTGGACCCAGCTCCCCTAGCGGCTTGGCCCGGACCGCGAACGCCCCTGGCCTGGGGGGACTGGGGCTGCTGCCCCCGCTGTGGGTCAGGGGCTAAGGGAAGCTCAGCCCCGGCCGGGCCCCGGGCCGCCCCCGGCGCTGCCACCCCGTGGGAAGAGCCGCCCTCGGGCCCGGCCCCTTCCGGCGGCCACGCCCGGCCCGGCGCGGTGCGGCTCCGTTGGACCGGCGCGGTGCGGCTCCGTTGGACCGGCGCGGTGCGGCTCCGTTGGACCGGCGCGGTGCGGCTCCGTTGGACCGGCGCGGTGGGCCCCGGCGATGGCGGTGCCGGCGGCGGCGGAGGCGGTGCCGGGCCGGCAGCGGGCCTTGGCCGCCGGCTCGCCCGTGGATTACATGAGCATCACCAGCTTCCCGCGGCTGCCCGAGGAGGAGCCGGGCGGCGCGGCCGAGAGCAGCCTCCGCGCCCGCAAGGAGGAGGACGCGTTCCTGGGCGAGCAGGACACGGGTGAGGGGCGGCGGCAGCGCCCGCCCGCGGCCCCCGGGCCCCCCCAACCTCCCCGACCCCGCTCCCCGGGAGGGGCTCCCCGGGCTCCCTGTGCCCTGGTCCCGCGGTCACCCTGCGGGGGCGGGCCGGGAGCAGCGGGCGCGGAAGGCAGCCAGAGATTCAGGGGTTCGCCACCGAGCATCCCAGGGCAGCCTGGAGTGAGCTCTCTCACAGCCAGCTTGGCCTTCCAGTCTGGACCTCTCGGGTATGGCCTCCTGGGATGCTCCTTGGGCATCCCTCCATCTGGGATGCTCTTTCATCATCCCTCCACCTGGGATGCTCCTTGGGTATCTCTCCACTGGTGGTCGGCTGGAATAAAGTCAGGTGATCCTTTAATCCATGAGAAGACCCTCTGCCTCTTTTTAACTGATTGCTTCCTCCTCTACAGTTGAGAGAAACAGTTCTCCCCCATGTCGAGTTTCTCCCATCAGAATTGCCCTTTGTCCTCCGGGGTTGCTTTGCAGTTCAGCTGTACACATCCAACTCCCCAGGCCCATGTTCTCACCCCTTGCCCTCTGCCCTGTCCCACTGTGCCCACAGGTGAAGCTCCCATTGCCTGTTTTTGCCCTGTGCCCTCTGGTGCCGTTGGGATAAAGCCGCTGCATACAGGTGTGCGGGAACAGCTCTTCTGGGAGCACTAGGCCTCTCGTGTCACACCCAGAATTCGATATGGTTTTGGCTGTGCTGGTGCCCACAGATGGGGTGGCTGGAGGGGCTCCTACTCTCCTGACGTGGAAACACACTTGTCCAACACTGTGTTGCAGGAGCTAGCTGTCCTTCTCCATGGCTCAGAGCCCGTGGGCGGCTCCGCTCTCTGCTGTCCCCTCTGCAGCGGCTCCAGAGCTGAGGTGCCCCTGGTTCCCGAAAGCATTGGTTCCCCTGTGAAGCCACATCTTCTTCACAGCCCCCATGAAAGCCAAATGGGGTTTGGTGGCTTGTCTTTCAAAGGGTGGACATTGGTGGGGGGATGGGCACCTGCACATTGGCTGTGCAGGCTCCTCCTGGCCCCCAGTGCTCCCGACCGAGCCCTTCCAGCTGCTCCTGTCCCCAAACCATGGCCCTGCTCTCCCCATACAGCACTGGTGGTCACGGAGACTAAGTGACTAGGGCCACATGAGATGTCTGTGGCAGAGAACAAAGGTGCTTCTGTGCGGTGGCACGGCTGTGGCCTGCCCTCTCCTATGGTTGCTCCCTGGTGTTCATGTCCCCTCGTGCTGGGCTGGCCTGTCACCAGACCTACAGGAGCAGAGCAGAGGGCCGGTGTCCTAGATGGACTGAGCAGAGGAGCCCAGCTCACTCCTTGCTGTTGCCCCACTGGTGGGGCTGGGGCCTCGCTTGGAGGTGCCATGGGCTGTATGTGACATCCCTCCCCAATGGCATCCCCTGCTAGGCCTGTCGTGGCCCCCACCCAAGGCCACCAGCCAGTCCTCCCACTCTGCCCACACGCTGCAGGCCCAACTCACTTAGACCAGAAAAGCTGGTGAGGGGCTCAGTGAGTGCTCAGAGGCACAGTCTGGGAAAGCTGAGCATTTCCTCCTTGCACTCCTAAACCACCACAGCATGAATGAGATTAAATTCACCCTGAGGGGATTCCCTGGCTGTGGGGAGTTTACTCCTGCTCGCAGCATCACTGAAACTAAAACTACCTCCCTTCCTGGCCCCAGAAGAGCTGCACCTAGGAAGTCTTGTTAATGTCACAGCGAGGACTGGGCTGGCTGTCCCCATGGTGACACCACCTGCCAGAGCAGACAGAGGCAGGCGGGGTGATGGGGAATGTGGGCTTTCGGGCTCACTCCCTTCTCCCTTTCCAAATCCGGGAAACATCTCCTGTGTGGAGGGACAAGCTTCTCATCTTGTCCTTTCCATTTAGTGCTCCTCTTTTTCCCACCACAGGTGTGCAGGGCACTGCAGCCCATGAAAAGATTGATCCAGGAGCCCTGGATGGTGCCCTGAGTCGCTTGGTTCTTTCAGTGCCTGGCAGGGATGAGCACGTCCTCACAGCTGCCCCAGCAGCTCCATGTGCCCAGCAGTGATGGGGGACAGGCAGGGCATGCTCAGGTGTCCTCCTGGCTGTGAAGGTGGCAGCTGACACTCGCAGAGATTCAAGGCACCTTTCAGAGCAAAAAAGAGACTTTTTCATCCTGATGAGCTGTGTTTGCTGCCCAGCAAGCCCCTGCCCCACTGCTTTGCCATCTTGGAGCCAGGCATTGGGGTGAGTGGCTTCATTTCCCAGTGGGCCTCATCCTTCAGAGGAAGCAAGGAATTAAAGCAGAGTCCTTCCTGCCGTCGGAGCGGGTGAATGTCCTGAGGCCTCCAGTTTGCAGGTTTGCTCCTCTCTGCCCTCACCTTTCCATGCTTCCCTAGAGGTATTTTCTGTGCCCAGGCCACGTTTTGCTTTGCCTCTGTTTTGCTCAGGTGCTTTAGCTGAAACACAGCTCTGCATAAAGCTGCTGGATTCTTTTTTTTTATATCTAAATTTCCTTTTCTTCAGTCCTGCTGCATTTCAGAGACCTCTTTGCAAGTCAGCACTAAGGACCCCTTCAAGCGGAGCAGTAACTGGGCCCATCACCGAAGACTGATGAATGGACTGAAATGGAGCAAAATTCAGGCGGTTTTTGTCCCTCTTAATCTCTAGGGAAGTCAGTTTGGAATAACTAGAGCTAAACTAAGGGATCAGTAAAATGACCGAAGCAGCATCTGAGCCAGAAAGGCTCTTGAGAGCTGTGATCAATGGGGAAGGTGATAGCCATGCTGGAAGGGGCTCCATGTAACATTAGTGCTGGGTAAACACTGCAATAAGAGTCCTGAGTTGCTCAATAACTCACACTTGTTTTCTCCCTGCTGCCCACAAAGACCCAGACTCCTTCCTGAAGTCTGCACGTCTCCAGCGCCTGCCCTCATCCTCCTCGGAGATGGGAAGCCAGGACGTGTCCCCTCTCCAGGAGACCAGCAAGGACCCTTTCTCTGGAGACTGCAGCTGCCGGCAGGATGGGCTGACTGTCATCATCACTGCCTGCCTGACCTTCGCCACGGGTGTCACGGTGGCCCTCATCATGCAGATCTATTTTGGGGACCCTCAGGTAAGACAAAATGCTGGCTTTACAGTTGGGCTTTGGCTCCGAAAATAGGAGAAGCTCCCTAACTTTCCTCCTGTCCACAGTTTGGCAGGGTGAGTGCTGGTGAGCCACAGCCAGTGTCAGCAAGGCCCTGGGTGCTGAGTCTGTACCCCAAATTGTCTCAAAAACTTTTTACTGCACCTGGAGGTTGTGCTTGGAGAGCCAAGCTGGGCTCAGTGCCTACCCAGTGGCCAGGGTGTGGGGGGCTGTTTGAGGGTGCTGCTGGGGGGGAACAGACAGCCCCACTGCCATGACTCCAGCTGAGGTTTGAGCCTGGTGTGAGTGCTTTCCAAAAACAGTCCTTATTTAGACAGTAGGCATCTTGTCCACTTGGAGAGAGTTTTATGGATTATGGGCATAAATGCCCAGGTTCACCTCTGGAAGATCCATCCAGGACCAAGCAGGGAAATAACTGAAAACAGAAGTGAACCTTCTGCTAATGTGTCCCACAGCTCAGTGCTTGACTGCAGAGCAAAGGCAGCATGGCCATGGGCTTGGATCTTCCTGCAGAATATCTGCCAAGTACTACAGCCTGGGAAGGGTCACGGGCAGCCAGTAATCGCCATCACCTTTGTACCACTGGGTTAAAATCAAGCTTTTAAAACATCCTGTGACTGCATTAGCACTGGTGCTGGTACCAGGGAAGGATGAGAGCAAATCATGGTACTGAGGGGGACGCTGCATTCTTTGTAGCTATATTCCCATTCCCAGTGACCACCTCCTGCAACGCAGTGACAGCACTCATTGGTCACCCATTGCTCTTGAGGATTAGTCTGACCTTGCTCTGGGGTTGTGGGAGACGGAGTTGTGGCTTCCCCAGCTTAGCATGTCTGCTGTTGTAAGTTGTTTGAGCTGATGGCGTGGCTACACGCAGCTGCCCTGGAGCAGTGGTGTGCCAAGGGACATATGACTCCCACCAGCATTTGGAGGCACCTTAAAATGCAGATCAGCCATGACTTTGGCACTGGCCTCAGGCTTCAGGTCCCACATTGCTGGGTGAAGATCTGGGCTGCACTGGCACTGCTCCCTGGGCACAACCGCTCTGCTCTTCCGGCAGCTCTTCCACCGCGGCGCCGTGGTGACGGACGCGGCGCCCTGCACGGCGCTGGGCACGGAGGTGCTGGGCAGGCAGGGCTCCTCGGTGGACGCAGCCATCGCCTCAGCCCTCTGCGCAGGCATCGTCAACCCCCACACCTCAGGGCTTGGAGGGTAAGTGTTGGTCACTCACCCTGGGCTGTCACCTCCAGTTGTCCTCAAGGAAGTGGTTTCATAGAATCCCAGAATGGGAAGGGACCTTAAAGCTCTTCTCATTCCATCCCTCTGCCGTGGGCAGGGACACCTTTCACTATCCCATGTTGCTCCAAGCCCTGTTCAACCTGGCCTTGAACACTTCCAAGGATGGGGCAGCCACAGCTTCTCTGGGCAACTATCTTGTGAAAAGTCCCTCTCAGCTGAGAAGTGCCTTCATGGCAGCATGAGATCCAGCGTGTAGTACTAGGTCTCTGACATCAGGTGGTGGATGTGTCCTTGTCTGCACAGGGACAGAGACCCTTCCTGTGCACCTTGTTGACAGTGAAGGACAGAGACTCCCAGGGAGGGAAAAGCTCTGTCTGCCATAGTGGCTGCCAGGAAGCCCCAGGCTCAAGAGGGCTAACAAGCCCCACTGTGAGTGTGCCAGGAGCTGGCAACGCTCAGTCCCAGTGCTTTCAGAGCCTGAGTTCTCCCCTCCATAAGCTGTGCTCCTGAGATCGGGGTCCAATACCAGCTCTAGGCAGCTGCCAGGGAGGCATGGCAGTGAGGGATGGCCTTCTTCCAACCCTCATCCCCAGGGTGGCATCCACATGAGCCTTATGCTCCTGGCTCTGCAGGAGGGCTCAGCAGCGTTGCATAAACCACAGCCATCTAATACCTGCTCCAGCTGCACCACTCATTGCTGGTGTAAACAAACACTCTCTTTTGTTGCAAAACTGCTCATATTAGAAAGAAAATCCCAGATTGTCCCCACCTGGCATTGGAACAGAGCCAGTAGCTCCCTGGCCAGGCTGGCAGGGACTGATCCAGCCTCACCAAGCTCAGCACAGGGCTGCCTGCATCCCACACTGGCTCTGCCTTGGCTGTCCTGGTGTGTGCTCTAGGGAAGGACAGCAGCATTCCCCACACCAGCTGGGGCTGGTGACCTGCCACAGTGACCTGTCATGCTGGCCCCAGTGGCACTCACACTCTTCATTTTGGCTCTACGGCAGCAGCTGTTGCAGGAACAGCTGGTGCCGTGCCCTGACCCCCCTCTCGCTGCAGGGGTGGGGTGATGCTGGTCCACGACATCCGGAAGAACAGGAGCTGGGTGATTGACTTCCGTGAGGTGGCTCCCCTGGGCATCCCTTTGGAAGGGGACCTGCAGCAGGACACCAAGGTGAGGACCAGTGTCCCACAGCCACCCCTTCAGGGCTGCTGTCTCCAGCTCTCCTCCCTGCAACCCTCAGGCTGGGGGCAGATGCCCAGCAAAGCAACAGGAGGCCTCTTACCATCAGAGTTCCTGGGCCTTACAGACATGGGGAATCCAAGGAAAATATTGCCTTTTCAGCCCCAAAATGCCTGCAGGGCTTGGGGAGTAGAGAGGTATGTCCCTCTGGCAGGGGAGAACAAGAGCTCCAAGAAGGAGCATAATCCCAGGTCATCCTGCTGAGTTATTTCTCCTGACCAAACTGGGTTGAGAACAAGATTGAATTTGACTCTTTCCTTCCAAAACCTTTTATTCCCTAATTGTGTTGTTACAGACCTCTTCCTCTCTCGTAACTATGCAGATAGTTCCAAAGCGAGCATGACTTGCATCTCCTTGACTTGCATTTGGGGACCATGTGCTATGTCCTCATGGAAAGGAGACTATTCTTCCTTTTTGTCCTTCCTATTTTACAGCCAGGTCTGCTCGTGGGGGTGCCAGGCATGATACAAGGGATGCACCAGGCACATCAGTTACATGGCAGGTAAGACACAAGGCTGGCACAGGCTGTGCCCTGGGGTCCCCACTGGAGAGCTGGGAGCACACAAGGCCTTGCCATCAGATAATGTTCTCAGCCACCAGTCAAAACCATTAGCTGAGAGGTACTTGGAGGCTTGTGTTGAAAAAGATGTTCATTTTTTGATACTTAATGTACAAAAGAAAGAATTCGCTTGGTCAGGTTTTCTGTAAAGTGAAATTCTGGCTAACAGGACAGATAATAAACGTTCTCTTGGACACAGGCACAGCACATTTCCATGCTTGTCTGTGTATTTTTATTCTCTCCTTAGCTGGATCCTAGGAACTATGGCTGCCCTTAGTGCCCTGTTGGGATAGAGAGGGAGGGCTCTAGATGACTTGCTCAGGGCCAGAGCCTGGCTTCAGATTTTGCTCCTGAGATGCCCCTTTCCCCATCCATGTACTGCCATTCCTCTCTGGTGCACATCCTGGAGCACTGAGATGATCCTGTTAAGAAGAAACAACCACTGAAAGCTCAGTGCTCCTTTTGGCCACTGCTGTCCCCATAGCCTGGTCTTTTAAGAGCCCCTGACCATAGAGCTGAGCCCTGCACTTGCTCCCCACCACCCTGCCCCACTGCACCCCCAAGGCATGTTTCTCCTTGTCCTTTGGCAGACTCCCGTGGTCCGAGCTGCTGGACCTCGCAGCTGGTGTTGCCCAGAACGGCTTTAATGTCACACATGATTTGGGTGAGTACCTGATGGGAAGCCAAGGGTGACTGCTCAGCACAGGGTGGCCCACTGGCCACTGCGCTGGGGTGTGAGGCAGCTGGGGATATAGGTGGTTATTCATGGGAAATCAAGGCTCTTTGGACCTGGAGATGGATGATGTTGGGAGCTGAGCAATACATAAGCCATGGTCAGAGCATGGTAGCAGCAAAACTGGAGCCTTTTGCTATGGCTGGTCAGAGCCAGGTCAGAGCAGCCCACACTGGGCAGCACCCAGGGTCAGGCAGGGAAGGGCACTGAGGCTTCTTTGTGTTTCCTTTGCAGCTCCAATGGATCCATGATCCAGCCTCCCTCTAGTTTTGCAATAGGGCCAGAGGCAGCAGCAAGCCCCCAACATCCCCAGTGGGTGCACAGTGACTCCAGGTCCCCTGCACCTTCCTGATCCCTACTGTTTCTGGATGTCTTTCCCCTTCTCACCTTCAGCCAAAGCCCTGAGTGAACTGAAGGACCTGAACTACTCTGACCGATTCCGGGAGCTGTTCCTGCCGGATGGGCAGCCCCTCCTGCCTGGCACGTTTGTCCGGCGCCTGGATCTCGCGGCCGTCCTGGAGCTGGTGGGGGCAGAAGGGGTGTCAGCCTTCTACAGCGGAAACTTGACCCAGGAGATGATCTCTGAGGTGAGCCAGGACTGTCCCTGTCTCCTGCCAGGGTGGGGCTGCCCCTTGCTATGTCACCTGCCCAAGGAGAAAAGCCAAGTGTCAGCACAATGATGAGGACAGATGCATGGAACTTCCTTTTTCTTTTCTGTCCCCGTCCCTGCAGTGCTGTAAGTGACACACAGGCCATTCCCACAGCCCTCAGAAGTGAAACCTCCAGTTCCTCTATAACCAGGAGAGACTGTTTTTTTGAAGGAAAAAAAATTATAAGGCCCCTCTGGGCTGTGTTAGTTTAAGTGGCAACCCCTTTTCCCCCAGAATTAGAGGTGCCCCACTGATGAGAAACAAGTTGTTGCTGTCATTAATGGGACTATAAGATAAAGACTCTAGGAAGATGGTTTAAAAATAAAACTGAGCCATGTGAACAGAGGATTAGACAGGCTTGGTCCCACGTGGGGTTGCCCTAGTTTAACTCTTGTTGTTAGATGTGCCCTGGAAAAAATATCAATGATAAACGAAGCACTTATTCTGTTAAAAAAAACCCCCACAACTTTTATACTTGTGTGGCTGCAGTCAGAGTGGTTGGCAGCACTGTTTTTTCCAACCACTATGGTTCAAGTGATGCATCTTCAGTATCTGGTGAGTAATCTGGAATGGGTTCACTCTGCTCAAGCCTTAGAGATTTGTGAGCTCTGTGTTTGGAAATATACAGTTCACCTGGGCCACAGCACAGGTGAAGGATGAGGAACAGGAAAAGTCCCAAACTTGTAAGCATCTCTTCAGCTAAACCTTGCTTTGTCACCACATTTCCCTGACCTGGGGCTGCTGCAGGGAAACACAAATTCTCTATGGAGGAGCAAGGCCTAGGGTTGCCACACCAAAGACCCTGGCAAGCTCTGGCATTCAGTACACAATTCCAGCTTTGGCTGCAGAGCAAAGTGCTGGCTTCCCACAGGGAAGACATCCATGTGGTGAAATCAAGCACTGCTCCAAAATGCCCCACCCTTTGCTTCCAGGCACAGGTGCAAAAAAGTGCTCTCTGGGGAATTTGAGATGGTGTCTGCAGCGTGTGGCTGACTGGGGCTTCTCCCGTTTCTGCGCCATCCTGCCCCTCCTGCCCTGGTCTCTGCTGGCTGGGCTCCAAGGAAGCAGCTCTTGGCACAGGCACCGGTGGCTCAGCACAGCCCTTGGGTTCAACCGGCCTTTTCCCTGAGAAGGAAATGGGGATCTCAAGTAGGAGAGACATCTTTAGCCACTTTGGGTTGGTTTGACATGCTGGCTCCACAACATGCCCTGCATTAGCTTTCCTTGTCCAGTGATTCATCCAGTTCTGCCAGAGAAGGAGTTTTGCTGCCAAGTAAGCTGGCTGGGTTAGAGATCAGAGCACACACAGGTGGTTTGTTCCTACCTTTTTTTGAATGAGAATCCAAAGGACTTACAGCAGCAATTCACCCCAGCAGAACATCTAACCAGGCTGTGTGGCTTCTCCTGGGTGGAAGAAAGGAGTTGGCCCGTTAGCACCTGTACACTGACAGTGTCACCTCCTTCAGGGCAGGTTAAGATCAGCAGAGTGCAACTCATAGAATCATGGAATCACAGAATATCCCGAGTTGGAAGTGACCTACAAGGATCATCGAGTCCAACTCTTGGCTCTGCACAGGACACCCCAGCAATTCCACCATGTGCCTGAGAATGTTGTCCAAATGTTCCATAAGCTCTGGCAGGGTTGGGGCTGTGACCACTGCCCTGGGGATCCTGTTTCCAGTGTCTGACCATCCTCTGATGGTCCTACCTCATCTCCATCATGACTCATCAACAGAAGACCTGCAGTGGAGGGAGTCGCCCATCTTTACCATGTTCATGAAAATTAACAACCCTAGTAAATTGTACCTCTAGGAGAGTCTTACAGGAGGACCAAGGCTACAGCAGACCCACGGTCACCTGAAATAATTTCAAATAGAGTGGGAATTGTGATTTTTTTAATTGAGATTTCTAGTGATGGCCACCTGCTACACCCAGGTTCCTTCTCTCCTGGATCTATGTATAACTCTAAACCTTAACACACTCGTGCTTGCCACCCAGGGCAGAGAAGACTGCAGGGCAGTGCCAGTCCCCATCTTCCTGGGCAGGCAGAACGTCTTCAGAGCACCCCTGAGGTGGGTGAGCTGCAGAGCCTTCCCACACTGGTGAATGGTGAGCCAGGCCAACAAGGCCATGAAAGCACAGATTTGCAGGTTATCCCAAGGAACGTGGCACTTGGCTTGGGAATCTCAATGGTGTTTGTTTGACAGTGAGGTGTGAGTCCCTCTGGCCCAGCACGAGGAGCATAGAGAGCCTTGACCCAGCCTGCTCAGTGTGTGCTGCTTTACTCTCATGCAGGTCAACAACTACGGTGGAATCTTGGTGGAGGAAGACTTCAGCAATTACAGTGTCACAGTGGAGGATCCCATCCACACAGTCTATCGAGGTAAACTGTGACCCATTGTCATGCAACTCCAGGTAAATGTTTGCTTCACCTGGCAAGAGGTGCCAACAGTATTTAACAAGAGCTGAAGTTAAAGCTGTGCTCAGGTGTCTGCAGAAAGTCCTTCTACGCAGATTCCTGCTCTTGCCTGCTGACGGTGATGCATCATGGGTTCAGGAGGTTTTCAGCACTTTGAAATGTTTTTTCCCATGATAGTGACAAATGGTATTTTGATAGTGTTGAAGTGTGAAGGTGCAACATGGTCCATCTTGATGCAATGTCTGCATAAGAAGCTGGATCTTAGGCCAGCAGCTACATCTGAAGACAGTTCCCAAACTTGAGCTACAAGGGAGAAAAGCTGACTTTATGCAAGAAGTTTCTAAAATGTCTTTCTTTTCTAGCAATCCCTGTATTTACTCTCCTTATAGCTGTAATGTTGCAAACCTGTTTTATACGCAGCCTTTCAGTACTTAAAGGGGGCTTATAAAAACAGGGAACGCGACTTTTAACATGGGCAGATAGTGACAGGAGAATGGGGGTGGTTTCAAACTAAAAGAGGAGAGGTATAGAAGCAATTCTGTAGTTAGGAAGCAATTCTTCCCTATGAAGTTGGTAAGGCCCTGGCACAGGTTTCCCAGAGAAGCTCTGGCTGCCCCATCTCTGGAAGTGTCCCAAGGCCAGGTTGGAACTGGGCTTGGAGCAACCTGGTCTAGTGGAAGGAGTCCCTACCCATGGCAGGGGGTTGGTGTTGAATGAACTTTAAGGTCCCTTCCTTTCCAACCCAAACCATTTCATGATTCTATCTCTATTTTTCCATACTCAGTCCAGAAACCAAAAGCCAACCAATAAGAGCTGAATCTCAGATGTTAAAAAAGCATTCCTATTTGGGCTTCTTTAATCCTTCATAAAGAAAGAGCAAGATACAACAGGAATGTTCTGAAAAATCCTTCTCAAATCATGTTGCTTTCTGTTATTTCCCCTTGAATCTGGAAGGATTTCCCTGTCCTCAAGGACACTAGCTCAGAGAGTGTTCTAACTGGACAATATCTGACAAAAGCAGCTTCATTCTTCTCTTCTTCCCTCCACAGGTCACCTTGTTTTCAGCCCCCCACCGCCACATGCAGGTCCTGCACTGATCACAGCACTGAACATCCTCGAGGGCTTTAACATCACAAGTAAAGGATCCAGGGGGAATAACTTGCACTGGATAGCAGAGGTAAGAAGAGGTTCAATAATTGGCTGAATTGCTTGTGCTGCTAGAGAAAAATTTATTTATTCCTTGATTGTACAGAAATGTTCGTAGGCAATTCCCACAGGAGAGCGAGCAAATAGACTGCTAAGGTGTAAAACTGAGTGGTGCTGCTGTCTCAGGGAGGTGCAGTGGCTGGAGTGTCCTGCTCAGCTGAGCTCTTTCTTGCTCAGGCAGAGCTTTCTCAGAACAAACTGCGGCTTTTGCCCATATGCAGTCATCTCTTCAGAATGACCCCACAGCACCTGAGGGTGGTCCCATCTAGTTCCTTCACCTCTTAGCTCCAATGGCCCTGGCCATTCCAGAGCACCTAAAGGCACTGAAAGGAGTGCTGCAAGCAAAAGCCTATATGTGGTGATGACAAGGAGAACTGACCCAATACTTCATATTTTAAGAAAATATTTACATTTTTGCCCACCTCATGATCTCTGTGGTCCAGAATTTTTCCAATATTTAGGACTGTCAGCCCTACTAAAACATTGTAGCTTCCCAGGAGGTCAAGCAATTGCTTTGGCACTTGCTCTGTAAGCAGAGTTATGCTCTGAGATGCTTCACAGATCCACAGCTGGGCTTTATGAGTTGGGAATTTCAGTCAAGGATTTAACCACATCCTTGTAGCAGGCAGGACAGCAGGTGCTTGGAATTTATTATTTCTCAGCAAAAAGGTAACAGCTGGAGGTGTTTGTCTCAGTTTAACAATACAGAAATGTTTCATTAGGAGGGCAGGATATGGGAAAAACTCCTCCCTCTGAGTAATTATAACTTTGAAATTAAGGGGTTTCAGTCGAAAGGTGTGGAAAAGAAAAAATAACAGCTATTTATTCAAGAAAAAAAAATATATATAGGTAACACAACAAAAACCCAAGGAACAATCCCGTAACCCAACTTCCACCAAAGCGATCGAGTCCTTTCTGCCCGTCGGCGCAGTTACCGCCGCTCCCGGCAGGGGGCGCTGTTGGACGGGGGGGCGGTGTCGCTCCGTGGCCGGCAGGGGGCGCTGTCCGGCTCTGGCCGCGGTCCCACACGGAGGCGGCCGAGCGGGCCCGGGGCTCGGGCAGCGGGAGAAGGGAAGGGGCCGCTTCCCGCCGTGGACTCACGCTGGCAAAGGCTGGCTCCGGCTGTGGGTTCCTTTCCTCGTCAAAAGGTGCTGGCTGCTGCCGTCACGGGAAAAAAAAAAAAAAAAAAAAAAAAAGAGGAGGAGAAGGGCGGCTCTTCCCCCACAGGCTCCCCCACACTGGCTTTTCGATGAATTCGAGGCAAATCCAGGCAGTAGAGCAGAGCAGAGTGCGGGGACTCGGGTGCGAAACGGGGTCTTCCTCGAAGACAGAAGAAAACCAGCCGCCCGTCCGAGCTCCGACCCCGTCCCCACCCCGCGCCCCGAGAGCCGCGGAGAAACCAAGACCCTCCCCCCGAGGGAAAAAGAAAGGAGGAGGAAAAAAAAATCCACCAAACCTGAGTTTCCCCCCCCCTCCCCGCCCCCGCCGGCCTCGGGTAGAGGGAAACGGAAGAGTCCTGCTCCTTGCAGAGAGAAAGTCGTTAGCGTTTCAGTAGGGCACTCGTTCAGGTCTGAGCCGGCGAACAATAAAGCCTGAACCTTACTCCACCCCAGCCAGGTTGGTGTGGAAAAAATTCACCGGAGGCTGAAAAAGTAAAAGGAAAACTATAAGAGTGTTACACACTGCCAGGCCTTTGCAGAGACACAAAAGTTTTACTCACCTGGGCTATTTTGAGCTCTCTTCAGGAAGCTTTGAGTGAGTCTATTTGCTCTGCATTTGCACCAGGTCAAGAGTTTCAGCTGTTGATTATCCTGGAACACCAACCTCCAGATCAAAGGCAGTCACTTCAGGAGATGTGTAACCCTGGTTACTCGGGGTCACACAGCTGAACATGTGGCTGAGGCTCAGTGCTAGGCCAGCACCAAGTATCCAGCCCTGGAACAGCCAGGACCAAGATGTCCTTAATCTGTGCCTGAGGGGTGAACATGCTCTGCTTGTTTCAGTGGAGCTCTTCCTTGGCCATCAAGCCCTTGTACATCCCTGTATGGTGTGATGGTCTGGAGACTGCTGCATGGAAACACCACATTCTCCAGAAGTTAATCATGTTCTACACTCTACACCAGTAGATAACTGAGGAGAAGCTGTTGCTTTGTGGTACATTCTGAACCACAGTCACACCTTGCTATCTGCCTGCAGGGGAGTGGACTGTCTTGAATCTTGAATGACTGTGGCAAGACCTGCAAGCTGAAAGTCAAGTGTGTTTCTGCTCAGCACAGGCTGGCTCCGTTGATGAGCCTTGTTCCTTGTGGCTCTCCTATGGCTGTGATGTAATCCTAGGGCTGGATAAACTGTGTCTTTTGAAATTGTATCTTCCCATATTTAATCAACTGTCTTAGGCAGGATTCTGCATGTTTGAGAAACCAGATCCCTTCTTCCTTTCACACCATCATTTCCCAAAGTGTGCTGGGACTAATGCTTTCTGCTCAAACACTTTGGATGGCTTACAACTAGGAGCTGGGTAGCAGCTAGTGAGCAGAACAACTCATTTCTGCTCGGCACTGGTGCTGTGCCAGCAGAGCTGGCACCCAGAGGCAATAGTGAGCCTAGGACCCACTCTCCCACTGGGATTCAGTCTGGTCTCTGCTGTTGTGGTGACCACTTAGGAAAGGAAATAGAAAGTAAATGGCATCCTGGTGACCTGTCTGCCAGCTGGCAATGAAGCTCAACCACTGAGCTGGGTGTCAGCTCCTGCCAAGTGTGTTCCATTTGTGGCTTCCCACTGACAGAGGACAGGGTTAGATGGGATGTTTGGAAGAAATTCTTGGCTGTGACGGTGGGGAGGCCCTGGCACAGGTTGCCCAGAGAAGCTGTGGCTGCCCCATCCCTGGAAGTGTCCAAGGCCAGGTTGGACGGGGCTTGGAGCAAGATGATCTTTAAGGTCCCTTCCATCCAAACCCATCTGTGATTCTGTGACTGTACAAACACTTCTGGATACACTCAGCTCCCACAGCACATTTTGCCTTCCCTTCCGTTCCCTCCTCTCCGGTCTCTTCCCTTCCCTCTCCTTTCCCTCCTCCCCCTGCCCTCACCTTCTGCTCTCCTCCTTCTCTCTTCTCTTCTCTTTTCTTTCTTTAGACGTTAAAAATAGCCCTGAGTCTAGCGAGCAACCTGGGAGACCCGTCTGGTGACATGTCCATCGCTCACACAGCAGAAGGGATGGTGAGGTAGGTCTGAGGTGACTGGCACAGTGACAGTTGCAAGATGTGTGGTTGATATCATTTCTGGGTTTGCTGTGCCCTGAGCTTTTTCTGTTTTACTGAGGAAAGGTCAGTCTTTGAGTGCCCTCCCAGGGATCACTCTTCCACAAAGATCACAGCTGATACCCCAGGGCTCTGGGGATGGGTCACAGGATGTCCTCACACAGAGGTTTGCTGCATCCAGCTTGAACCTGAGGGTTCCTTCCACTTCCTCACACCTGTAAACATTCCCTCTCAGTGGGTCCGACAAACAGCCATGACCATGGGCATAGGCATGGCCAGAAAAGCTATTTCTGCCTCTCCCTGTCCCACCGTAGTGGTCGGTGCCTTGCAGAACACCCAGATGTGTGGGAGAGACCAGGCCTAGGGTTTCAGCCTAGCCTCCCACCTCAGAGCCAGGTTTAGCCATGATTGGTGGCCAGAGCTGGTCCTGACTTGCCCTCCTCCTGAGTGCTAGCATTCAGCTGGGAGTGCCACCTTGTCCTTTGGGGGGGGATTTACTTCTGATGAGGGTAAACACAGGTAGACAGAGCCTTTGAAGGTCCACGGCGTTGCCTCTCTGTGCATACTGAGCCATCTTGTCTCCTTCTATGGGGTGAACCAAAGGAGCTCCTGTCCCAGTGCAGCCCCTCAGGGAACACTGCAGTACAAACTGTGTAGCTGTACCCTGCAGAGAGACCAGGAGATGTCCAGCTTCCCAGGCTCATGGCTTGCTTCCTTCTCTCCCTCCCTCCTTGCTGAAGTAAATCAGAAGCTAATTCCCTACGCCAGCTGATTAATGACTCCCAGTCCTTCCCATCCGATCTCCACATCCCTCACTTCTCCGTGGAGAGCGGCCCAGCTGCCAGCCAGGTCCTTGTCATGGGGCCCGACGACTTCATCGTCACAGTTGTGAGGTAAAGGATTTACTTCTTCCCTCCACAGTGTGCTCAGGGGGTGAGAGCAGGGAGAAGAAAGCGGGTTCAACAGGACAGGATGGGACCAGCCCTGGAGCAGCTTGGCTGTTCTGTCCCAGTTAGTCCTGCAACAGAGCAGTGGGGTGGAGATGTGTGGGGTGGTGCTGCTCTGCCCCGTGCAATCCTGTAGCCTTCTCACATTGAAACAGGGCTGGAGGGGCCTGAATCTGCTGGGGAAGAAGTGATGGCCAAATTTGAGGATGATGTGGGCATGGAGGCAGATCCATCACATCAAGGGGAATCCTTAAACACAGGGAGGGACAGAGCTGCTATGGCCCACATGGTTCCTACTCCTAAGTACATGGAAACTGTTACTCCTCACATCTAACCAGTCCTAAAGAACCACCAAAGAGTCTCTATCAAGCCAAGATGGGATGGAAAGTTGGAGCCCTAAAAGCCTCAAGGTGTACAAAAATCTCTGGGATGATTTTTACAAGACTTCTTTGTGTTTCTTTTCAGTTCTTTGAATCGTCCCTTTGGCAGTGGAATCATAACACCCTCTGGAATCCTCCTCAACAGCCAGATGTTGGACTTCTCCTGGCAAAACAAAACAATGAACCACTCCATTTCCAGGCCGGTAATGAATGACATGACAAATTCTTTATTTGGGCTACCTGCATCTTTTTTTTTTTTTCAATTTTATTCTCAACTTCACAACAGGGAGCCTATTTAATGCCTTACTGATAACTGAGAGACAATAGTCTTTAGAAAGCTGCTGTTTTTCACTACATGAGTACTGAAAGAGGAAACAGAAGGCTCCATGTGTATCAGTTAGTTATCATTACAAGGCAATTTTATCAAGCGATAGTTACCTATTTTCCCTGCAGTCCAGATGTACTTTAAGCAACTGTGTGCACTTAATGAATTCATGAATTGTTGCTCCGCAGGTTAAAAAGTAACATATAGCAGCAAAAAAATCTTCAGGTCTTGGAACGAATCAATTATAGACCGCACTGGTGGCTTTCAGTGCTGCCTTGTGTATTGTAAAACCATCCCACTTTGCTGGGCTGGTACTTTCAAAGTGGGTGACTGGTTCCATGTTCCCTCTGTAAGAGTCAGCTTGTTGACATTTTTGGGGTGTCTTTTCTTCAATTGCAGCAAAATCTCATTCAGCCTCGGAAACGGCCCCTGTCCTTCCTGCTGCCCACCATTGTGAGGCCTTCTGAGGGCATGTGTGGGACGTACCTGTGTCTGGGGGCCAACAACGGGGAGAGAGCCTTGAGCAGCATCGTCCAGGTCAGTGCTGTGTCCTCTTAGAGTAGCTGTGAGCTCAAGGCTGAGTAGGGTCCCCTCCCACAGTGCAGCCTTTTCCTTCCTAATTGTCCCAGGCTGTGCCAAAACTGGTGGCCACAGGACTACCAGATCAATCTTTGATGCCACCACTTCCACACTTTTGGTGTCTCAAATCTCTAAGAGCCACCAGTTTACTTCTCTTGTACCTTTCCTGGTGGCACCACTCATAGTTGTAGAGGAGAAGCATTTTGGCAAAATCTGTAATGGTTTTTGTCATTCATATCTGTTCAAAGCTCGTCTTAAGGATCATTAAGAAAAAAAGGAACACTTTGTATTCAGAGAGTTGCAGGAAACTGGCACCCTTTAGCCCTTTTCCTTATGAAAAGTTCCTTTTACTGCATTCCTGACTGAATTCCTCCCTGCTCAACACTTGCTATAAATTGGGCACCTCCTCTTAATTTGTGATTTGTAATGAGGTGAAGTACTTGCCAATAGCTTGATTGCACGTACAACATTTTTTTTAGCTAAAAAGAAAGGCACAAGAACAGCTCCCAGTTTCCTTACCTTTTAGAAAGCATTATTCAGAGCAAAACCGAAGCCAAGCATCGCTTCCTGGTGCTTTGTTTGGAGAAGGCACATGCTGAGCTTTTGGCTGTAAGAAACACTTATTTACAGATTACGTCATGTTCCAGACACACAACTCTGCTAGTTTGGCAGGAACTATGTGACAAAAAGCCCATGCAATCCTGAAAATTTCCTACTTTTCCACCAACAACATACAGGCCCTATTTCAAGGACCTCTTAGTGTGTGCATGCAGTTTGTTAAATGGTTGAAAATCTTCTTTGCCTGCTGCATCTGCAGATGTTGGAGCCACCAAATTGTGGGATGCTTAGGAAGCTGGCCTCTCCTATTCTTGCCACTTTTTTTTTTTTTGTTATTGAGGGTATTTTGTTCTCTTGCAGGTTTTGGTAAATGTTTTAACATTTCACAAGAATCTGAGTGAAAGTTTGTCACTTGGTCGACTTCACCCACAGCTTCAGTCCAACACCTTGCAGGTTGACAGTGAGTATGGACAGTGGGTGGGGTGCAGCCTACAAATCCAGTGTGTGTTTAGGAAAAGGGTAGGATTTTCTTGGCATACTGCTATGGAAGTGCCTCAGCCCAGAGCACAGCTCACTGTGTTCTAGGGTTCCCATGGCTGTAGAGGGTTTTGGAGAAGACAAAAAGCAGAATCCAGCTTCTTCAAAGCCTGGAGCCCTTGCTAAGCTATGCCTTCTCCATCCTGGAAATGCTCCCTGGCTTGTCCAATACCACCAGTCCGAGCTCTTTCAGGTGCTTCTCCCCAGCCCTCCCTCCATCCCTACTCCCTCCTGGTAGCAGCCTTGTCCTGTCCTTAAAACCTTTTGGCAATCTGATGCCACTGTGGATACCCAAATAAACACCAGACAGGTTCTGAAAGCTTCCTACACTTTATTACCACTGCCATAAATTATATTCCTTCACTTTCCAGCCCATGTCCCTTAATTCCAGCAACTGGGGAGAAGACAAGGCTTATGGCAAGGTTTGTGGCTTGACAGTGCTGGAAGTGCAGCATCAGTGCTGGCACTCTGAGACTGTACTGTCAGCTCTTGTCCTTGATATTGCAAGTCTTGGTCTATCTGATGTTTTTCACACAGCCTGGTACCAATCAGAGCAAACCATAAGTGAAATTTGGTTCTCATTTCACACCAAATAGCCAAAGTTTCTGGGCTTTCCCATTTTAGAGGAAAATCTAAAAGGGGTCTGTCTAGTGTGACCTGCAGACTTGAAAACTAGGATGTAATTAAAACAAATTCAAAACTTCAGAACATCCTAATTTGTGGGTTTGGACATTTTGACATCAATAAGGTACATGTTAAGACACATGTGCAATGTATAGAGCTTAAATACCAGTGGGGTTTCTGTGTGCCTGCTCGGTTTTGTCCAGCTGGATCCCCAGCTCCATGACCTTGGGCACTTCTATTCATACAGAAATTACAAACCATCAAATTAACAAAATAGAAACAGAAGAGCAGCAGCCTAAGGTAGATGCCTGGAAGATTAAGAAATGTGTGCAGGGCAAGTTGGAAGGATTAGCACACAGTTTATCATTTGACAACTTGTTTTACTGTCATTTGGTTTCAGCTGCCTTGCATTTTATTTTGACTAAAAATTGTTAATATTCTTATTTGTAACTCAGAGTGGGCAGTGGGCATTGCCTCCTGTTCTCTAAGAATAACTACATTTGTTGCCAACAATGTATTTTCCCCTTTTTCCAAAGAGGAGAATCTTCCACATCCTTAAATGGTCTTGCAGATCCTGTCACACCCCATGGCACAAAGCAGTGGCCCCTTGACCCTTGGCTTGCCCAGCTGGAACCTTCTGAAGGGGCTGCAGGCAGGTTCCCCCCCACACCAGATCCCAGCAGGGTTAGACAGAGCTTCGCATCACAGGCAACGCTGATTGCAGTTAAAAACTCCCCTTTTAAAATCCCTACAGGTGAGTTTCCTGAAGAAGATATAGAATTTCTTGTAGCCAGGGGCCACCAGGTGGATAAAGTCCCAGTGGTCTCCCTAGTTCACGGAGCCAGGAGAACCAACAGTTTCATCATTGGCCTGAAGGACCCCAGGAGTGCAGATGCTGCTGGAGCCACAATATTGTAGCACCTCCCAGGTGACCTGTTGTCTGAACAATGCTGACACACACCAACCCAAGTGATGTGCATGTTCTGAAGTGGCCTCTTCTCCAGCCCTGGGGGAGCCCCACCCAGACGTTCTGCACTCACCACCCCAGGCAGCACCAGGGAAGTCAGCAGCACCAATATGCAGCTCCCTGCTCTTGGTTTTTTTTTTTTTTTATTTTTCATTTATTTGCATTGCAAGCAGCCCAGTCCTTGTTACAGGAATGCCAGGAGCACACTTTTCTTTTGGGAGAATCTTGCTAATAATTTCAGTCTTTCCAAAGCCAAGTTCTAGAACATTAGCAAAGAAAAAAACAGTTGATGATGATGCTGATATCTTCACTTCCCTATCTTTCCCAGAGCAATGGTTTTCAACAGCTCTAACAAATTCTTCCTCTAACAACTTGTACACCCCCCAACGGTTTACAGAGGTTCAGCCTCCTCCGTGGTAAATTTGAGCTTAGTGGTAATGGGCTTAATTTTCTTAGACACCTTTTGGAGATATTCTAGCAGTACTCCACAGATTTGTGAAAAACCACACACCACAGACTGCAAACCATATGGAGAGCATTTGGGTATGTTCAGGGCCTTCCTTCCACTGCCTTATCTCAGTCTACTCCGAAAGTCTAAATCAGGTCATTCCTACAGAGAAGCTTGGGATTTTCTGCTGACTGAATTCATGGCAGTACTCTAGCTCCATGTTTTTGTACTGGTGAGTCTATTGGAACAGCTGAAGAGAGTGAGAGAAAATGTACAAACCAACCCAAACACTACTGAGATCATTTTCTGTCTGCAGCATGTAGTGAAAATACAAGAATGCTTCTGCATTTCATGTCTGAAATCAAGTGAAGAAAGAACACCCCAGCTGACAGCTGCACCACTTCAGTCAGCCCATGTTTGGACATTTCCTGTTCTTTTTACTGGCAACTTAGAGACACCTGGCACTAAAAAATTCCTGAGTGATAATTTTCTGCGGTCTAAAATTTGTTGATTTCCTTCATGGTGCAAATGCATCTATGGCCACTGTACATATTATATATGTATGTCTGCTTATGGTTCTCTTGCTCCTTGATTTGATGATCACACCAGTCACACCCGACCTTCCTCCCAAGGGTCTCTGTGACACCCATCTGTTTGTAACTCACCCTCTGACACTTGTGGCCATTGGACATGGGGAGCAGGTGGGTCGTTTTGGGGCAGTTGGGGCCCCATGGCAGATAAATCAGACTAATCATTCCTGCCATCCGCCAGCCGTGGATCTCAGAACATCCTATGTGAAGCCTCACGTGTGGGGCTGAGCAAGGACAGAGGTGTTTTCATGCTCTGCTGAAGAGCAGCCACCCCTGAGAGGAGCATGGCAGTGCCAGCCAATGGCAACACCAGTGCTGTTTGCTGTTCCAAATCCCCTCAGCTGGGACGGGGGTGCAGCACTTCAGAACGTTGTCTTTGGCACATTGTGTTCTGTGCCACCAAGAAGAGACTTTCTTCACCACAGGGACACCAATCTATTTATTTATTTTTCTGTCGTCAGCACTAGAGTTGGTCACTGCCCGAAGCTGGAGTGTTCATAACGCTTCACGTGTCTTAGAGCAGACCTTTTCAGGCTCCACAGGAAGGGAAGGTGGCAATTCCGTGAGTTGAACCTCACTGGGGGAGATCTGGGTGTTTCTGGTCTGTCCCAGACCAGATCTGCCCCTCCGGCACAGAGATTCACTGTGCTCAGCTGCAAAATACCTGCTCAGTTGTCACAGCAATACTTTGCATGAAATATCACAAAACACTGAAAGATGAAATTCCTCCTTATTAACTGAATTCACCAACTTCCGATGCTGGAAACTGTGTATATGTTTGGCAGTAAAAAGACTTTGGTCTTGATTCAAAAGGGCATTCACATGCCCCAAGGTACAATTTCGCAGCAATTATTCATAATCTTAAAATAAAGCATGTTCCAAAGTGCTCTGCTGGATCATGGCCTATGTTGCAAAAAAGAGAAAACTGAAAACAATTGGAAGATAGTACTTAGGTCACCAGGTCATGGCTAAGATAAGTAAAGGTATTCTGAATTATTTCCCATTTTCTCTGTTTAAAAGCAGCATCAGGATAGCACAGATGTATTTGATATGGAAACCCTTAATCTGCTAATTGGCCCAGTGTCCCTAATACTTGAGCCCATCTGTTGTGATAAGACTTGATGAATTTAATGTGAGGTACCAAGAAATACCTGATGTTTTCTTCAATGCAGGTAAGATGGACATTGGGAAACACAGGGCTGTATTCCAGAGATGTGTGTGTGCAGAGTCCCTGTGCTGATTTCAGCCAGGCCCTTGCAGGCATGTGACAGCTCTGAAGCAGAGTTTGTGCTGAAACTTTGACTTGAAATTGTCAGTGAGCAGCTCAGAACACAAAATACAAAGGGGCTAAGAAAAACAATAAAGGAACAAAATAAACACAAAGGAACAAAATAAACACAAACAAAATAAATTTAAAAAAATAGATGCCTTTGCCAAATATGACAATATATCATCTGGAACACGATCAGCTTGTCTCTGCCCAGGCTCGCATTGCTCCTCATCGATGCACACTGGTTTTGCATGGGGATAAACTGGAGCCAGGCTCTGCCACTGAGTGTGAGCAGTTTATCAGTGTTTCTCACAAGGGCTGGACGCCCCTCACGAGCACGGGTAACAAACTGCCTTGCTGGCTGTAGGTGCTGCTGCTCTCCCATGTGCATCAAGCACTGATGGCTGGGGGTGAAAGCCTGAAGGGGGGACGAGGCAGAAGCCAGTGCTGCCATCCTGCAGCTAGAGGGAACGAGCCTGCTCTGGCCCTTGGCTGCGCTATTTTGTTCCCATCACTGTCCGTTTGCTGCCCAGGCACGGAGAAGAGCTGGAGCCCACCTTGCTCCCACCACTCTGGATGGGGCAGGTGCTGCTGGGACTGTCAGGGTGGTCAGTCACACTGTTGGTGCCACTCAGGCTCCCCCACTGCCCCTGGTCACAGGGACCTGCTGAAGAGCAGCCCTGGGCACACAGGGCATTCCTGCCCTCCAGCAAGGACCGCCAGCAACATGTCCTGCTCCATCTTTCAGGGGACTGGGGACTGTCAGGGGCAGATGAAGGCAGAGAGCTGCTGCTATAGGTGGGGCAGCAGGTTCTGGTCCCTAGGCTCCAGGGATGATGACCAACATTCTGCAGCCCTGCCAGTGTCTCTCTGAGGGTCCTTCAGCTGGGGCAGCAAGTCTGAAAGTGCCCATTCAGTGTCAGCTGTTCAGCTGCTGCTGGAGGAGCTTGGACCCTCCAGGTGCCTAGTGGGTCCTTCTGGCTGGACCATCTGAGAGCCTCCTTCTGCCTGCTGCCCAACCCAACAGGACTGACCCCGGACACTGGCTAGAGAGAAAGGGGAGTCAGGCCTCAGTAAACACCATAAGAGGAAAGCTGCATCTCTTTTATGAACATCAAAAACACTGAGAGTTTTGTAAGGTTTTGCAAAGAATCAGGTGGAGCGGGAAGAGCTCCTGTAGTACCCAGGTGTTTTCAGCAGTTTTGGAAACTTCTTCTAAACTTCAGTGATGGAAATCTGCACCTAGCCAGAGAAAGGAGAGCTCTGACAGGCAGAGCTGGTTTCAGAGAGGCGGGGAAACATCTAAAAGTGAAGCACACCTGTGCAGAGGGCAGATGGAGTAGGAGTACCAGAGCACTGACACATACTGTCCACAAAGGGCTCTCCAGTGGCCACAGCATTTTCAGGTGCAGATTGTCCTGTCAGAGCTGACCTGCTGCCTGAGGGAGCATCCTGTGTGACAACAGTTCCTGAGCAGCCATGGACCTTCACCCACCAGGACCATTCCCGGCACAGATGGGGCTCCATATCCTCGGAGTCGAGGAGGAGAGGGTGACTCCTGTGCACCCCCATCCTGTCTATCACATCTATGACCAATTGCCCGCCTATCTCTTTCTCACCACACTCACAGTTCAACAAAATCCTAGGTCAAAAGTGACTGCGACTGCAGTGCAACAGATCCCTGTTCCTTCTCTCCAAGTGAGCATTGTATCAGTGTTAGAGGAGAAATTACTTTGTTCAAGTAATTGTATAATATTTAAGTTTAGAAAAATCTAAAGCTGGTTATGAGTCTACCTAATTTTCCTGTATAATACCTGCCCTTTGAAAATACTGTCATATGAAATGCATGTAAATAAAACCACAATTTTGATTGCCATGGTATCAAATGCATTTCTGTTCTGTTGTGGACAATGAAGCAGCTCAGACAGCGGTCTTTGCTGCAGGTAGCTGTCCTCTGCAGGTGACATGGTATTACTATGTATCATTGGTTTTGCAGCAAAACTTCAGCATCCAAAACAATCTGAGGGTCTGCTCATGGAGGAGTTCCACAAACAGAATGACAGGACAGATTTAGCTCCAAAAGTAACAGAATCACAGAATGGTTTAGGTTGGGAGGGACCTTAAGGATCATTCAGTTCCAACACCCTCTGCCATGGGCAGGGACACCTTCCACTAGAGCAGGTTGTTCCAAGCCCTGGCCAACGTGGCCTTGAACACTTCCAGGGATGGGGCAGCCACAGCTCCTCCTGGGTTGGTTACGGTGTATAGAGGCTGGGCAAGATCCAGGAATATCCAAGTTCTCCAGTGTGGATCCAGGCTGTGCAGTAAGCTCAGCTCTGGAGATCAGCCTGAAGCCCAGCTCACTGCAGGACATGCCTGCGTGGGTGAGCAGCAGGACATCAGGGTGGCAGTGCTGGAGCTGTCCCATGTTTCTACTCTCTTTCCCCTCCATGTCATGTTATTCCCTTCTCCCCACTGCCGGCTGACTCTCGGTCTCCTGTCACATGCCTTTCACTGCAACATGCAGGATGGCAAAGCCACCTGGGTTCCTCCAGCTGCTGGTCTTCAGCAGAGATGTCTCAGAAGGGTCCTTGGTTGCGTCCTGTCACCCTGGGGTCCCTTCAGCTCCACCTTCCCTTTGTTCCCTTACACTTGTGACAAAGATATTTTGAGAGAATTGGGATTAATTTTATTGATGTGGAGATTGTGCCAGTTCTGGTCTTTCCCAACAGTGAGCAGAAGCATCAGGAAAAGCAATGGGAAGCAGCAGGCTACGAATTGCGAAAGGGATGTCCAAGGCCCCACGCTGCAAACCCCATGAGTGATTAGGCACGGAGAGGTTATCCGTGTGGGACCTCTCAAGCCCAGATCAGAAAGTCACAGCACTTAGATGGCTCGAGCACGTGTTGGTGAGATACCTCAGTACTGCGCTTCCAGTGAAGTTGAGTTTTGGAAAAGAGCATTTTACTTGTTCTTGTTTGCTGTTGTATACAAGACATGCCCGGGATTAATGTACATAATGCAGACAAAACCATGCAAACCAAGGATCCCGAAGGACAATCTTGTATGACAAGCACAGCAACAGCAGTGGAAAGCATGCGGGTTTTTTTGGAAGCAGCACTGATCTCTCTGTGCCAGTGTGAGGAATGCCTTTGAGGGAAGATCAGGCCGCAGGAGGAAGTTTGGTGCAGCTGGGTTAAGAAGGGTCTCATGAAATAGAGGAAAACATGAAGACAAATGGGGAAGGAAGGTAATTCCTGGGTACCAAAGAAATCTTTTCTCAGTTTCTTTGTGTTTCCAGCTGACTCAGAAGCCAGGAGCAGGGTGAGGCAGAGCCCAGGAATCATCCCTGCTCCAGCAAACGGTTGATCAGAGGTATCAAACATTCCTCTTTATTACTCCTGTGACTGAGCCCTGTCTCCTCTTCTGACACCTCTGAGGGTTGTGGGGGGTTGGGGAAGGGCTTTGCCCTTGTCCCACCAGAGAGGTGCTAGAGGTGGGTCCCTGTCCCAGAGACTGCAGAAGACATAAAAAGGCATGAGCAGAACAATCCTTGAGTAAAGGATTCCTCTCTGTCTAACAGCAGGGAGCTTTAGAGCTGCACATGGGAAGGGAACAGGCAATCTGCCTGCAGCTCTGCCCACACCAACCAGATTTAATTATTAAGATAAGTCCTATACTAACCATGATGTTAATTATTTAGTTTTCGTGGTTTTTATGGAACGCATTTATACGTGAATTGATAAAAGTGTGGGTTTTTTCTGTGTTGCAAGTTATACTGCCCAATGAGATGTGAATTCGTTGTATTTAGAAGATTTTCCAAAATAAAAAAAAAAGCACGTCCCTTTTTTCATGTCACTTATCTGTCAGTATTCCACATGAAGCCAAGGCTGGGGGGACTGAGAGGGCAGTTGCACATCCTCTCCCGAAACTCCCTCTCAAGCCGCAAAACCTGCTCAAGTTACCGAACTATACATGGTTTTGCAGGGCCAAAGTCTTTATTTTTCCCATAAAGGCCTTTTGTTTGTTTTCCTGCCCTGTAACAAGAATTGCCACTTGTTTCATTTCTTCCCCAGCGCCAGGCGAGAGCTTTCTGCTCCTACCAATGACAGACAGCAAAACAGACGCTTCTGACTTTTTATATGAGTTGATCATGTCTCATAATAAAGGTTGTAGGATGAGACAAACGAGGGGGCTGTGTGTCCTGTGGGGATCCCCTCAGCTGTGAACCCTCGTGTGCTGAGGGGCCTTTGTAGGGATCGACCATCACCCACTGGGGACTGCGGGCCCTTGGGCCTGTTCATTAATCACATAAATGGACTTTTAATTAAAATTCAGCTTTGTGGCCTTTGCTGAGTTCGTACCAGGTCCCTCTGGCTTCTTCCCCATCTCACCGTAGTAAAACGAAAGTATAATTCACTGATATTCACAGGGTGTATAAAGCCTTGGGACGAAATGCTCTGAACCAAAATTCCTCCAAATTAAAAACCTCATTTCCTGGAAATTTCCTATGAAAGCCTTAATTATTATTTTTCCTTAAACATCATCTGGGAAAGACTGTCTCCGTTCCCAGAAGCAGCCGGCGCCCCCGGGGGCTCTCCCTGGGTGAGCACAGTGCCGGTGCCGGGGTCCCCTCGGGGCCGTCCTGGTGCCGGTGCCGGTCCCGGTTGCGGTCCCGGTCCCGGTTGCGGTCCCGGTTGCGGTCCCGGTTGCGGTCCCGGTGCCCGTCCCGGTGGCGGTGCCGGTCCCGGTGCCGGGGGGTCCCCTCGGGCCCGTCCCGGCGGTCCCGGTGCCCCCCCCCCGCCGGACCCCGCGCGCTCGGGCGCAGGCGCGCGCGGGTCACGTGTGCGGCGCAGGCGGCGGAGCGGCGCTGGAGTCCCGGGCCGCGCGCGACCCCCGCCCCGCGCGCCCCCGCGGCCCCGCGCGCGCCCCCGGCGGCGGCGGCGGCGGGCCCAGGTGAGGGGAGGGGAGGGCGGGGCGGGGGTCGCGGCGCGGGCTGGGGCGCGGGGCGGCCGCCGCGGGGCCGGCGGGGCGGGGGCGGCGGTGTCGGGGCCGGCCCGGCCCGGCCCTCCCCGGGCGCAGCGCAGGCCGAGCCCGCGGCGCGGCGGCGCCTGGAGGGGCGCGGAGCGGTGCTGGGCCCGCGCCGCCGGCGGCGCAGTGCCCGGGCCGGGGGTGCCCCGTGTGCTGGGGCCGTACCGGGGCGCTCGGCAGGAGCCTGTCAGCGAGCGGCGGGGCCCGGCCCGGAGCGGCCCGCGGCCTGCAGCCCGCCCGGCCGGGGCCGGCCCCGCTCCGCCGGCGCTCGGAGCCCACGAGCTCGGCTCGGCCCGCCGGCCCCGGGGCGGAGCGTGTCCGAGCCGGCAGCGCTGTCAGCCCCGGCAGCTGTGTCGGTGCTGGTCGCTCAACCCCGGCCTTTGTGCGGTGTCAGCCGGGCCGCGTTGACGTTTCGCTTTTGTTCGAATTCCTCGGTACCTCTTAAAACAGTCAGAGGAAGACTCTTCACTTATCCCCCGTTTGGTGTCTGCGTTTCTCTAGAAGATCTCAGGATGCTCAGATTTCTTCCAGCTGCTTGGGGAATGGAAGGAGAGAGCTTTTCTGTGGGTCTGGAAGCTGGCAGCAGGTTGTAGCTTCATGAGCTTTGTCTTTCCATGACTCCTCAGCCTCCTGGTAGACACATTTGTGCTCATTCCCCTGATTGAACACCTTACTAAAACTATTCTCACTGGAATTTTATTAGAGGAAAGACAGTGCCTCTTGTTGGGTTTATAATTATTGTGCATTGTAGCCTTTCTGGCTTGTTCTTTAGCTAAAGCACCTTTCAGTATTTCCATTATATATATATTTATGTATATATTTATGTACATGTATGTGAAAACAGAGAACAAATCTGGCATTTTCCAAAAAGGTCACCAAGTGTAATAACCACAACTTTTGGATTTAGCAACTCTTTTCCAGTTACAGCAAGTGGTCCCTGCTTTTCTATGCATCTTGTGGAGAAAGAAACAAAGCTCTTGAGGCATGTTTCCAAAATGGCCAGGTCTGCTGGCCTGGGGACTGCACGCACTGCCTGCAGCAAGGCATCAAGGTGTCTGCTAGGGATTTGTATGCTCTTTAAATATCCTCTGAGCCATGTGGCCTCCTTGGAAAGTTAACCGGCTTTACGAGGAAATGTTTCACAGTAATACTGTGCCCAGATTCTCCTGTGAGAAAAAATGAGATCAGAACTGGGGAGGCTGCACACAGACCTGTCTTCCATTGAGAAAGGACATTTTAGTGTTTTAAACCCACAGAAGGACATTCAGTTTGGATTTTGGCTGGAGGATCTCCCAGCAGCGCTCTCCTGCCGGTGTCTCTGGAAGGCCTGTTCTTCTGTAATTTTTTTTACAACAGGTTTTCAAATGATGCAGTGATTTTACACTTTTCTAATAAAAAAATAAGTGCTTCCTTAAAATAAGAAACAACTGTGTGCAGGGAAGCCGGAGCAGTCCAGCTCCACCTGTGCATCTCTAAGTGTTGGTGTTTCCATTTTTCAGTGGCTTAAGAAAATACAGGCTGTGGGGGTAAATTCTGCTCGACAGCTGTAATACCGCTCTTTGTACTGTTTGAGTATGATCCTGACAAAGGTTCCTGCCTTTATGGGAGATATTAAATGTTTCAACATGATAACTAAACTTTTAAACAGTTACAGTATATTTTTTCTAATACCATAGCATAATTTTGTGTGGAAGCTGGAGTTACAACTCAGTTACACAGACGCACTGAATTTAACAGGTTTATAGTGGCAAAGGGTTGGAAGAGTTAATGGGGCTGTAACAGTTTGATTGCTTTGGGAATGGTGAAATGGGGGTGTCTCTTTCAAAATCGTGTGGTCTCTGTTGAGAAAC